GTTTTGGCAAGAGGGATTGGTCAGTAGGTTGAAGCTGCCAGTCTTGCCAAACAGAAAAGGGAATATTGCTTCTAGGAAAAGGAGAATATTTCCTTCTCAGTTATTCAGTGGAGTCTATTCTTTTTTTATTTAAATGCCCCCCCGTAGGGGATTTTTTTATTTGCATTTTCTATAAACTACAACGAAAATTAGGGAGGGGATCTACATACTATGGGAGAAAGTAAAGAAAAACCACTAAAAACCAAAGAGATGGTGGTCATACATACTGCTTAACAAATTAGCTTTTAGCTCAAAGTTCGATTCAAGTTCATTGAATGTGGTCATCTAGTAGTCAGTTTATACTGTAAAATGAATTTAAACACCGCCACCTCTGACTTCTTAAAAAGCAACCTAAGAAATAATTATAACAATACATTGTAAGAGCTTTCAGAGTGTAATAACATCTCATTTTTTATACTCCCCCCCCTCAAAAGATAGCTTGTCTTTGGGGCAGCTGCCCCTAATTTGGAATCTGAGTTCTCATCTGAAGATGCCGCTTCTCCTTCTTCTTCGCTTTCTTTGGTGCTGTCCTCTGTCTCGACTTCTACTTCTCCTGATGGACGACTGTGTTGGTGCAAAAATTCACGTGCCTTTTCAACAGAGCCAATTTTTTCTTTCTTGTCCATGAATGTGAAGATTGTACCTTCGGGGACAATCCATCTGTATGGGATGTTGTTGTTTTGTAAAAATATCACCAAGTCTCTGTATTTCCTTCTCTTCCTTTTAATTTCAAACGGGATGTCCTTTAACACTTTTATTTCTTTGTCTTTGATTTTCAGGGTAGATCCATTTGTCGCTTTGAGAATTTGATCTCTCACTTGTCTTATAGAGAATCTTATGATCACTTCCCCAGGCAGATTATTTTTTCTTATAAATTCAGAATACGACCTTTTGCTTTGTAGAGTATCCATTTTTATGTCTGCCATAGGGCCTAATACATCACACATAGTCTATCTCAGATTCTCAGTCTTTTCTTCCGGAACGCCTTGAAATCTTAAGACATTTGCTCTCTCCATTTGTAGCTGTAACAGTTGAGACTCCTCCATCAATCTCTTTTTTTCCATCGCCTGCAGTTGTTTTTTAAGTTTTTTAGTGTTGGCATCCACTTCTTTTACTTCTTGTTCAGTTTTATCTGTTTTTTTGGCTATTTCAGTTAATTGCATTTGCTGTGCATCGAATTTGCTATGCAATGCCGTGACTTGTTCCAGCAGAGGTCACAGTGCCTCCGTCAGCATCTTTTGCAGCTCTGTAGTTGTGTCCTGTCTAGGAACAGGACTCCCTGGGCCGGCAGTTCCGGCAAGAAGCTTAGGTTTCACTTGTTTGTCTTTCTCATCTTTCCTCGTGGACGACATGTTTGGGGATTGTTTACTTTTAGTAAAAGTTATCACAGTCTCTGATACTCTTTAAACAGCTTGGTAAGTTCTTAAATGCTTTTTATTTCAGTCTGTCTTGCTTCACTAGTCCACCCCCCTTTTCGTAATTGCACAAAGTTTGCTTAGCTTTTCTTAGCGGGGAAGAATCCCCCCCCCCTTCAAAGGGTAGGTTTTCGACTAGCTCTTCAGTGTTTCTCGCTTAGACTCCAACTCACGTTTCAACGATAAATCCGCTTTCATTTTAAATCGCTCGCCCACTAAGCGCTTGCTCCAGTGTGCAATTTCGTCTTGGCATTGTAGTACCTGATGTTACGTCAGGTGCTACAGTGCCAAGACCACGACCAAACACCCTGGAAAATCTACAACAACTAATGAACTCCGGCCGTGAAAGCCTTTGACAACAAATGGGCTCTTGCTTATCAATAATAAATCTCTGGCCTGGGCAAAAGCCAAATATCTTCTCTACCACAGGGTGGGACACTCAGAAAGTCAAAAAACATTTATGACCACAAGCTACCAAGGGGCTGCTCAGACAGAGTGGGGAACAGCTATTTAGTGCTTTGGCGGGGAAATCTGCCTCAGAGTAAAAGTATAAACAAGGGTCCGTCATCATGCCACTGGACTCAAACTTTGTTCAACTGTTACTGTAGTTGCTCAAAATAGGCATACACAATAATTACTGTATTAGCCAATTGGGGGAACACACACAGAGTCTTATCAGGACCAGCTAAATTGTCACAGTAGTAGCTTCCTTAGTGTTTGTGACAATTCAGTTAGTCCTAATATATTTTTTTAAATACTATTACATTCTGCAGTTTTTACTTAATAGTCATCCAGGAAATTTAAAAAAAATCATGCTACCTATGGAAGGCTTTTAAAAAAATGTATATTGAGAAGATGATAATGGCGAGCAGAGGAAACCAACTGCTGAATATGAAAAAGGGCACACTGAAACTTTCCAATGTAATCTCTGATATTACAAAGGCTAGAAAACGGCTATAACATTTGTAACAAGTTTAAGAACATAAGAGAAGCCAATGTTGGATCAGGCCAATGGCCCATCTAGTTCAACACTCTGTCACACAGTGGCCAAAAATACCAGGTGCCATCAGGAGGTCCATCAGTGGGGCCAGGACACTAGGAGCCCTTCCACTGTTGCCCCCCCCCAAGCATCAAGAATATAAATGCATCACTTGCCCCAGACTGAGAGTCCCTATCTATACCTTGTGGTTAATAGCCACTGATGGACCTCTGCTCCATATGTTTATCCAGTTCCCTCTTGAAGTTTACTTGAGAAGTAATGAAATTGCTTTTCAACTAAGAAGTCCAATGATTATTCATCTTTAAAACAACAGTTTATATTCATCAGATCATGAAAAGGCAGAAGTCCTGTTAATTAAGTAAATTCACAAGGTCCCTCCAACATATCACACAGACTTCTTCAGGATGACTGAAACCACTTTCATCAAGCAAGAACTGGACATGTAGCTTTGCACTTGGTGGTGAAAAAGGTAGACTAAAGATCACAGAAGTGTGCATATAGCCATTTCAGTGCAGGGTTTGCCTTGCTCATATAGAGAGACTAGAGCTCAATGGATGGAATCCACTGGAGTTATAAGTGGAAGAAACACAGCTCTTTGCTGCATTCCCCTGCTGCCCGCAGCCCCTTCCAACACTGGGAAAGTTAATTCCTGAGGTTGTGTGATCCATGCAGACCAACAGCCATGCAGATTGCAGGGACTACAGTAAAGAAGGGAAAGTGGTAAAATTGTCCTTCCTTCTCTTAACACTGTTAGAGCTGCATTTGTGGTAGAGGCAGGGGTCGTTTCGTAGAAAAAGAGCTAGGGGAACTCATTAGCATAACTCATTAGCATATGCCACACCCCCTGACATCACCGGAAGTGTGTCATAAGGCCACACCCCCTGACATCACCAGAAGTGTGTCATAAGGCCACACACCCCTGCCATCACCGGAAGTGTGTCATAAGGCCACACCCACCACCCAGTTAGTCTTAGTCTTAAAGGCTAGTCTCCCTACAACAGACACCCTGTGAGGTAGGTGGGGCTGAGAGAACTCTGACAGAAACTGCTCTTTTTCAAGAACAACTTGCCAGAACAATATGAGCAATATCCTGAGGAAATTGTGGAACCTGCCAAAAGTGAAACGGAAAACAAATTTCATAAATACACAGGAATGCCAGGTATCTGGAATCCCACAATTTTT